ACAACACTGAGATTCTACCTCACCCCAGAAAGAATGGCTGCTATCAAGAAATCAACCAATAACAAATGCTGGCAGGGGTGTGGGGAGAAAGGAACCCTTCTTCATTGTTGGTGGGAGTGCAGACTGGTGCAACCACTGTGGAAATCAGTGTGAGGATACCTCAAAGAACTAGGATTAGAAGTCTCATTTTACCCAGCTATTCCTCTGCTGGCTGTCTTCCCAAAAGAATTAAAAGAATCATACATACCACAGTCATATATGCTCACCCATGTTTATAGCGGCACAGTTTGTAATAGTTAAAACTTAGAAACAGCCCAATTGCCCATCAACTGGAGACTGGGTAAAGAAGTGGTTTTTTAATAAAATGGAGTACTACTCAGCCATAAAGAATGAGAAACTAGAGACATTTATAGCTAAGTGGATGCACATTGACGCCATACTCTTTTTTTTTTAATTCTTAAATTCTGTCATTGGTACATTTTAGGTATACAGTACATTTACATTTATCTTTGGGTGCTTGTACCTGTACATGATGTATCTTGGTTCTTATTTTTTCCCCATTACCTGTGCACCCTTCACACAGTATGGCGCTTAAGTGAAATAAATAGGACACACGTGTAAATACTGAATAGTTTATCTAGTGTGAAAAACTAAAAGTGTAATTAAGGATCAAAATGTATAATTGATATTGTGCAATAGGAAGAAAAGCTCTAAAGGAGTATGGGAAGTGGGAGAGGTAGGGGAAAGGAAAGAAGGGAAAAGAAAAAATATGAGAAAAGGGAAAAAATGGAAACAAAGCCTTTGTAAATAGGGAAGGGTGGAAGGGGTAAAGGGAAGGCAGGGGAAGGGGAAAAAATAAGAACCAAGATTCGTCATGTAATGGTACAAGATGCCAATGATGAATGTAACTGTATTGTATACCTAAAATGTACCAATAAACAATGAAAAAGAAAAAGAATCTTACTAGTCTCAACTCTACTTAAATATTGGCACAGATATTTTCCTTTTTTAGGTAGAGCTTTGTTTTTTGTTTATCTTTTTATCCTTACTATTTAGAATGATGCATATTTTAAGGTAACTCTATATCACATTAGTTTCATAAATAAATGAACCAAGTTACAAAAGATGCACAAAGTTACCAACTTTGATGCTGAATGAGACTGATTGTAGTATGTATTAAGTTAGAATCTATCCATTTACAAATGAAGTTTCTCTGAGTAAAGCTAATATGAAAATTATGATAAGCAAAACACAGCGTTTGTACTGTCTTTCAGGAGTATTTCTTGATCTTAGAGATTGTTCATTGTTGAAATCCACAATCTCTGACAAGCAACATAGAAAAAAACGTCTATGTTGTGCTTTCTTCTTTCTTTAAATTTTCATGAGATTTTCAAGGTAAAGATCAGGCAAATGTTTTTAGCTTCCACATGAGACTAGTAAGTAAAGAGTTTAAAGATAGCCTAGATTTGGAAAACAAGGTGATATTATAGGTTAATTTAAATGGTAACAAAGCAATTGCAAAAAATCATAAACATTTCTCTGAGCCTAAGGATTTCTCTACCAGCAAGGGAGAGTGAGCAGCAGCCTTAAGACTAGTAAATAAAACTGATTTTAATTGGAAAGAAAATCCATCATGCGATAAGATAGTTTTGTTTTAGCTAAGTGACCAGTGAATTTAAGTTTCTTAAAATAAATTCTAGGTTTGCATGTGTTGTTTTCTTTGCCTGTGAACTACTTGCCAACAGTACTGATATCTTAGGAAGGGTAGCTCTTTGTACTTTTACACACACTTGGCTCTTTGTCACCCTAATTTATTAAGTGCTTCAGAGAGAATCATATAAGACCCTGGCCGAGGTCACACCCTTAGCCAGGATTGAGCTCCAATCTCCTGATTCCTTGTCCTGTATTCTCTGTGCCATAGGCAAGGTCAAAACTCAGATGTCTAAAGGAGTCAGAAAGCAAGTGTAAGGAATACTTCTTAGTTCCACAGAAAGTTTCTCTTGCATCTCACAGCAATCTAGGACCTGATTCCTTGTTCCTTCCTTTGACAAAGAAATGGCACAGAGAAAGATTTCTATTACGAGTAAAACATCATAATGCCGATAACAAATTGATAAAACCTGGTGTCTGGCAGCGTGTGGTGAGGCTTTTCACAACTGGAGCACACAAGCCTTTGGGAGGGCTGGGTTGTCACTCAGCACTTGCCATGGCAGGGACGTATAGGCAGTGCAGCGTGTTATACTCTGCAGTTCTTAAAGAGAACAGAATCTTGACTTTAAGGATTTGAAATATTGGATCACTTGTTAAGCCTTATGCATTCCAAATAAAATATATCTGCAGGACAGGAGGCACCCTGCACTACCCAGTCATGATCTGTGCCTTGTTCTCTGATAACTGCCATTATCCCACATTCCCAATGCTAGTGTCACCTTCAGGGCCTAAAGCCTCACATGATCTACTATAAATTGACTTCCTCATCCTAGTCTAGATCTGAAAACCAACCAGCTCCAACTCAAGCTGTCCTCCTACCCCGGCAGCATTTAGCCTTGCCTCCTGTCAGCAGCTACATGTTCTCAGGATGAAATCTGAGAGGTTGTGGGAACAAGAAAATAGTCAGAGTTGGACTGGTTCTGTCTGCATTTCTGAGGCAACCTTTTGGCAAAGACAGTCATCATTGGGAATCTGGTTATTTCACTGGGAAACACCTTCTAAGTGGGCACCATGTTCTTCTATACTGTGCTAAGTGAGTTGCAGATTAGATCGTGAGTTCTGAGGACAACCCTAGCAATGGACAGACAGTTCCTGTTGTTGAAATGAGCTTTGACAAGTAACTCATTCTTTGTTAATGAGGGGACCCCTTTACCACCAGATGCTCTGGAAAACAAAAAGTGCAGCTAACCATTTGGGATCTTGTTCTCCCAAACACAAAGAGCCCAGAGTGTAAGGTAAGAGGTAGACCCTTGAATTACTGACAGTGAAAGAATTTGATGCTTATTACAGTAGGGTGAGGACAGGAAATATCTGTACCTTGGACTCCTACTGTCAGACTCAGACCCTTGCCTGGCTTTGCTGCTCACTGTGTCTGGTCTTTTCTCAGCCCTAACATACTGTGCCAGACTAATTTTCCTTCACTTTTCATCATTTTACTCTCCAAATTAAAATAATTTCCTGTGGCCTCCAATCCAAAAGTATAAACACTTACCTACTTTTAAGACCCACTGTCTGTCCCCACCTTCCTAATTCATCTACATTTCTGTGACTTTATTTATCCTCTGATTTAGCATACACTTACCCTGTGACCAGTGTATGTCCAACACAAATAGATAGCAATGAAATGTGTGGCAAGTAGCACAAAGAACTACGAGTGCTACGCGATGGCATGCCTGCACCGTGGCGCATTCATCCCACATTTATTCCAAATGTGAATTGGGCATCCATGATATGCCAGTCCCCTTCTCTTCACAACTACATTCATGTCTTTACAATGACCACCAGATAACTGATCCTTTACATATGCTACTGTGTTTTATATGTTTCTTACTTTTCACTATGTTCCCCGAGCCTATACACAGTACCCACACATTAGACGGTCCGTAAATACTAAATAACTGCATTCACACATGTACCACTCATGTCCTCCTTGAAGCCCACTTAAATCTCCCTTCTCTGAACTGCTAAAAATTAGCCAAAAGCAATGCCTTTAACTATCCATTAATTATCCCACTGGCTTCATCCCGATGCTGTTGTTAGATTGCAGACTCTGTGAGGCTCCAGAATATGCCTTGCCACAGTAACCCACAATCAAGCCTACACGAAATACATACTCAAACTTGCTTGATTTTTTTTTTAACTGAAAGGATCAGTGGAGTTCTGTAAATAATAAATGAAATAATGTGTATATAATACTTAACAGTGCTGGTGTAGCACATAGATATCATTATTTACACTACTGCTCCATCGTAGTAGACATGCTTTACTTCCTCACAAACCTGTTTTAAAAGGGGGCTGATGGGTAAGGAGGCTATGGAGGTTCAAAGCAATTTAGTGACTTTCTCAAAGTCATGCTGCTAGTGAGAATCAGAGCCAGACCCCAAATCTGGTCTCTGTGACTGCAGAATAATTTTTCTTGCTCTTTATCTCCATGCGGCCAACATAACCCATCTGCTCATAGTTTGAATGAAAATAAACCCCTCAGAATGGTTGTTTTAGAGTCCTAGAGACTCAAGTAAACATTCAGAAATACAGAGATTAGGTTTGGGGACTCCAGCACAGTGTTGGCCAAGTACCAGCCCGCAGAATAAGGCATGGAAAGCAGTGCTGTTCCTGATGCACAGTACATACTGTTTCATTTAGGGCCACCACAAAGACTAGGAGTTCAACCCTAGACATGGGACTCCAGACGAGAAGATGGTCTGTACATAGCACAGACGTTTCCATCCTTGGAGAGCTGTCCTACTTTCTCCTGTAACAACTTCTCAGTCTAGGGAGGTTCTTTTGACACATCTGGAGGAGCTCGGTTTTGTTTAACTGGGACTCCCTCATCATACCTTCCTCCCTCCCTGTCATAGCTACCCCCTTCATGAGCACAGTGCATAGTAATTCAAGGTTTGACATAACCTTAGGGTGACAGCCTGGATTAGGAGGGGTACTGATGTGATCCCGAAGCACACCATGTAACGTGAATTTCCCTTCCCTCCTCTCTCCTCATTGTCAGACCTGATCTTGCCTGCTTCTACCAGTTTAGCTCAAGAGTTGCTACTTTTCTTTCTAAACTTGTTTAAAGCATCCAGTTCTTTGTTTTATAAATCCAGGAGGCTGCCATTAGGCTTAGCAAAGCTAGATTTCTGATAGAACTGAGACTCTTGCAGAATAAGCACTTTAAATATGTTCCTGGATTCTCTGTGAAAGAAGAGAAAAAGAAAAAATGAATTATGTATCTTTTTCTCTTTAAATGTAGATTAGAAAAGCTGTAACACTGACCCCACTCTCTTGTCTTTTAGATAGACCACGTGGTACAGGGGCACGCTGCCTTCCCAGAGCTACAGGCCAAGGCCACCGCCAGGTAACTGCTCTGTCTTCTCTCTGACTCTCTTTCCATGATGATGTGGATGACATTCACTTGAGCAGCTGTGTGATTTTCAGGTCCTAGGCACAATGAAAATTCCTATCAGTCCTTGATTGTAAGATGGCCATCCAGATGGTCTGTAACATACATGCATTAATTTTCAGAATGACTCAAGAAAACTCAAAGAGTCTAGAGATCCCCCAAGAATATCTGAGGCTATGGATGAGAACCTCTGATACAGAGGATTTGGGGGTTGAACCTCCTTGAGTTCACATGCCAGCTTTGCTGCTTCCCAGGTGTGTGACCCTGCAGTTTATTTAACTGCTTTAAGCCTATCTCTTTATCTGTACAACTGACAAAAACTGATATAGAGTACTTTCTATTAAGTAAGGCTTAGCTTAAAAGACTGCTTACATGTACTCATTTTCCTGTAAAAAGTAGATAGAAGAAACCATGTACTCATTTTCCTGTAAAAAGGAGATAGAAGAAAATATGTCTTTATAGCTGTACAAGAGAAACAAAAGATCAAATCAGAAGCTAATTGAGTTGGCTTATCTGTAGACGGGTTAGAATGGGAAGGAGAGACAAATTACCTGTGTCATCTGTACCCCTTCCTAGTGGTGTGGCCCTTGGAACTTCTTAGTGCCTTAATACCTCAATGTAAAGGAAATAATAAACCTTGTATGTTTACTGAGGGAATTGAATGAGTTAGAATAGTGGCTGGCATGTACCAGTAATTATCAAGCTGTAATGGGTGTTCACTGACAGTGATAGTGGTAGAAGTTATTGCTGGATCATTGTAGGTGCCTATACTAGAAATTTTCATTCCCCCCAAGAGGCACACACCCTCCTGGAGTGGAATGCATTGTGTGCTACACTAGAATACAGGCAGGGTCCAATACAAGTCTCTAAATACAATGCCATGAAAATGGAGGGGGTTTATGCCATGTCCTGCTATGTCCCCTCATTAACTGGCACTTTAGTTGTCTTAGTAATGGTATAACTTAGAACAAGAATTCCTAATTTCAAGTCATCAGTGAACCTTTGCAATTATGCATCTTTTTTAAAAAAATTACATACTTGTATTTGGATTTCTGTGAAAAGGGGCTATAACTTTTATCACATTCTTGAAGGGATCCTACACAGAAAAGAATGCTAGATTTGGAGTTCAGAGATCTGAATTCAACTAACAGCTGCAAAATATATCCTTGTGACATAGTATTGGAAAATCAGCCCAAGATGCCTGTGAAAGTGTATTTTTAATTTTGTGAAGTAATATATTTGACAAGGCCTTGCAAACTCAGTTTTGATAATGATGATGACAGCTAATTCTGTTCTACCAACTAATGATAATAAAGAAGGAGGAAGTTTGGTGGTAGCCATTCCAAGGTTAAGCAGATATCAGTCAACCATAATTTTCCTACCTTCTAATGAAAAGTAGGAGGAATACCAAGAACAATGAGTTGCTAATTAGAAATTTTGGATCTTATGCCAATTTTCCCATCAACATCTCAATGACTCAATTTGTACACTCATGAAATCACAGTAATTCTGATGTATTTATCTCATTTGAAGATGTTATTAGGATGAAAGTAGATCAGATGAATGTCAATATATGAAGATTTTAATTCTCCATACAAACCTAAACCAAAGATAGATTTGCAATGAAACACAAATTCCATAACTTTCTTCTATGAATGAACTTCATTTGGAAAATGAAGTGAGTGGCCTGAGCTTTGCTGAATCTGTAGGATGATTTTAAATCTCCTTCAGCTCTCAGCAGCATGCGGCAGCAATGACCACCCCTTTGTACTTTTAATGATCTCTTTCTTTGGCTTTCCAGAATGTCACCCTCTCCCAGTTTTCTCTCTGACTCCTCCTCCTTTTGAAGCTCCTGATACATTTTTGTCCATCAACTCAAGTTCATTGCAGCTAGGTTCCTGGATCCCCTTCTGCCTTTGCTATCTTTTCCAAAGTGGCCCCAACTCTGCCCTTTACCTTTATGTCTTTCTATATATTGACGATTCTCAAATTTTACTTCTAGACCAGATACTCATTCTGTAAATATTAGTTCTCTTCCACCTTCATTCTGTCGTCATGCAAAGAAAAATGCTTCTCTATCATATCAGATCTACGAATGTAACATTCTAAGATGATAAGCCCCATTATGTTTTAGAATGATGCAGGCATAGCTGTTATTCCAGGGGAGTTGGCTGTTTGAAGAGGAACACAAATCCCTGGAAATCGGGAGCAGTGTGCCTCTCTGACTGTGTGGGAGCTTTCCGACAGCACCAGTGCTGCTCACCTCCATGTCAGAGCTTAACATCAACAAAAATCTTGTTTGAAACTGTGGAAACAAGTGTTGATAAACAGATTGAGTATTTTATCCTCTTGATTTACCATAATCCTTTCAGGCCCAGTCTCTGAACAGAAATATCTTATAAGCTTATAAATTAAGTAAACAATAACGAGATGTGCCCCTACATGTAACTGGCAACCACAGTGTCTCTTTACATGGGACCAAATATCCAGACATTTCACTCCATAGCCAGGAATTGATTTATATTGTTTGTAATTCCAGCATTTTTTTTTTTTTGGTTTTGATTTGTCCCATAAAACCTTAACTAGAAATGTCTCAGAATGAAGCTCTGGTGACATGAGCAGACAGCTGAGGGGGAGAAGTTGGCATAATCCACCATAGCTATGTCCAAGGTTGGCAGCAGAGGCAAGATTGAGCTCTAGGTCCTCTGAGTATCTGACCTGACAAATGTCTTGTGAACATTTATGATACCAGTGTGGACAAAGGAAAGCAAGTCCTTGCTCTTCATATAAATTGCACATACACGCACACATGCATACACATGTATGTATGTATATACACAGAATGAAATCGATAAATGTATTAAGGAAAACAGAGATAAGTAAGGAAATGTAGCACAAAGGCTTTAGAGGTGATAAATGGGAGCTATGTCAAGTGAGACTTCTGTCCTTTCTGGGGTGATAGTGGAGCAGAACTTTGAGTGAAGGGAAGGAATAAGCTATGATTCTAGGGGGAAGATCCTCCAAATGGGAGGAACAGCAAGTCCCCAGGCTGGAGCCAGCAGCCAGCTTGGCAGGCTTAAGGAACACCTTAAAGTTCACTGTGGCTGGACTGGAGGGAAACGGGTTAAGATGAGTGCAGGAAGTTAGCTGGCAGCCACACCATGCAGGGGCTTGTAGATAACAAAAACATGCTGAATTTAACTTAGGGTTTTAATTTGTTTGTTTGGGGTTTTGGTTGCTGGGGTTCAAACCCAGGACCTGGCATATTTTAGGCACATACTATTCCACTGAGCTATACCACTAGCCCCAAGGTATCGATGGGGCTTTTGAACAAGAGAGAGAGACATGATCAGATTTACATTTTTAAAAGGATTACTTAGGCTGTTCTGTGGAAAATGAACTAGACAATTGTAAGGAAGTGGAGACATGGTGGAAGCAGAGAAATGGGAGAAATAAGGGCCTTCGGTATCCCTCAGCAAGTTCCCAGTGAGCTGGGCAGGAAACTGAAAACAGAGAAGTGTGTCTGTTCTTGGTTTGTTTGCAGAGGACCCTGTCAGCAGTGGTCATCTCCTTGTGAGCCCGCTGGTTTTGGGTCCTTTAGATTTGTCTTTGTTTCACTAATTCACAGTTTTTTCTTGACTTGTCTTTCTTTTTAACTACTTTCCCTGTAATTTTTCTGTAATTCCTTTGAGACAACTCATTTTTCTTGGTTTGATTTATTCCTCAAAGCTTTTTTGTTTCTGTGATTCCCATAATCTGAATAAAGATCAATTTCTTAAAATTTACTTGTCTTCTGTATGCTAAATCTCAGATACACTTACAACTTCCCATGAGAGTCTGTAAAAATCTTTCTTGAACAAGGAAAAGAAAAAGAAAAGACAAGAAGATTTATTAAAAATTTGCAATGTGCCTGGCACTGTGTGTAGTAACAGTTTCATCTAGATCTCATTAAATTCTAGGTGTGGAAATGAGGATTATTGAGAATTCTCAGATTTCAGTTTTAAAGATTATTCTCCCTAGATCCCATCTTGTGTTCTCAAATTGCCCCCTTGGCCTTTCTGGCTCTGTAAATTTCAGTTTTGTAACTTGGACAGTTAGTCTATCACCAAACACTTACTTCCCTCCCCTCAGCTAGGGCAGTCATAGAATCAGCCTGCTGATATTGACATCTTTCCTCACTCTGGGTATGCAACGATAATCAGTAAATTCTTGAGGACTCTCAGATCAGAAGTTGCTTCTTAAACCAAAATAGATGGGTATATAATTTAGCCTTTCTTTGGCTTTTCTTCTGCATGCAAATAAAAGAAAGTGCTCAGACAATCAGGGTCCTTTCAAGAAGACCAAGGGCTGTGCTGATTTGGGATGGGACGTAAATCCTCCATTTTCCACCTCTCCAGGCACAGTGTGTGGCACATGCAACAGGTCTGGGGACCACAACACACTTGTTGGCTTCCCTTGCTCCTCTTCTGTGTACACCAGCATGCCTGGGAGCTTGTATCCACATGACCCCTGAGATCTCCCTTTGGCAGCCCAGTGCTTCAGGGAGATACAGAGATATGTGATGTGTAAACAATGAAGAAATGTGGGGATCCACCAAATTTCCCGTTAAGAGTCAACCTGATATCTTAGACCATTCGGGCTATTGTAATAAAATACAATAGACCAAGTGACTTTTTTTAAAAAGTAGAGATTTATTTCTCTAAGTTCTGGAGCCTGGAAAGTCTAAGATCAAGGTGCCAAAGATTCAGCCTCTGGTAAGGGACTCACTTCCTGGTTAATAAAGTAGCACCTTCTCACTGTGTCCTCACATGGTGGAGAGGTGAACAAATTCTGTTAGGCCTCTTTTTTAAGGGTCCTAAACCCATTTATGAGGGTTCTGCTCCCATCACCTAATCAGCCTGCCAAAAGTCCGGCCTCCTAATATCATCATCTTAGGTAAAATTCTTTGGGATTTT